TTTCTGTCCTTATCCAAAAAATCTACTGAGGCTAAGTTGAAGAGCTCTGGACTAAGAAAAGCCTGGTCCTAAATGGAGTAGAGGGAATGGTGACCTCAGGAAAAGACCCTGTCCAGCTAAGCTTCTAATTTGTAGAAAGGAATTAAAGAAAACCTTAAACATGAAAGAAACTATTGAATACAGAAAGCTGGTAAAAATATATTTAAATGAGGGGGTTAAGTTCCAGTCCCAGCAAGTGGCAAACCTTGGAGGCTTCAGCCAAGTGGCTCTGGCTTTACTTGAGAAAGATTAGGAGGTGTGGCCTTGTTAGAAGTGTGTCATTGGGGGTGGGCTTTGAAGTTTCAAAAGCCCAAGGCCCATTGTCATTCTTTCTTCCTACTGCCTTGCAGATTAAGATTTAGAATTCTCATCTACCTTTCAATCACCATGTCTGCCTGTATGCCACCATGTTCCCTGCCATGATGATAATGAGCTATACCTCAGAAACTGTAAGCCGGTCTCACTTAAATGCTTTCTTTTATAAGAGTTTCTATGGTCATGGTGTCTCTTCACAGCAGTAGAACACTAAGACAGTATGTATTTATTTCCTTCACTGTTCTAGAAGATTAAAGCCCAAGATGAAAGCAATAACTGGGTTGGTTGCTGATAAGGTGTCTCTTCCTGAAGGTTGCATATAGCCACTTTCTTGCCAAGTTCTCACATGGATTTTGCTGTGTGTATGTTTACACAGAAGGTGTGGCCTGTGTGTTTTCCTATAAGGGTACATGTCCTAATAGATTAATACCTTATATTTGTGACTTCATTTAACTATCTCCTTAAAGGTCTGCTTTCCAAACACAGTACTTCAATGGGTTCCACATATATGGAGTCAACCAATCTCAGACAAAAATATTCAGAATAGAAATAGAAATAGAAAGTTTAGAACAGAAAGTTCATGCCATGCTGGACATTGAAGTTAAGCTTTATGCACCTTGGACAACACCCTAGGAAACAAAGAACATCCCCTGACCTCTTGGTATTCATGTGCGTGTTTTCTGCTGCATACTTTTTTTTTCGGACAGGATTTTCCTGTGTAACATATGCTGGTGTCATTATTTTTCGTTAGTGCCCTGACTGGCTAGAACTACAGGTGTGTGCCAGCACAACAAAAGCAGTTCTGAGTTTTGACAATAAAAAAAAATGGGTTACACCATCAAGCAGCCAGAGGAATCGTGTTACCACCCAAGTGATTCATGCCCGCCCTGTGCATAGTCCTGTCCCAGTGGCTCTGAGCCAAAAGAAAAAGTTGAAGTCTTCTCTCTGTGGTCTCTGTGGCACTAGAGCCACCACACCACCTTTTAAAATTAGCTTACAAAGTAACAGGTTTCCTTGTGGTATTTTCATATACTTAGTTTTGGTTGATTTCCATCCTCTTCTGCATCTTCTGTTTGTTTATTTGTTTGGTTTCTCTGTGTAGCCCTACAGAGACCCTGGTCTCAAAAAACAAAACAAAGAAACAAGAAAATTCAGCAACCCAATGTACTATACTGTCCTGGAACAATAAAAGGATATCTGTGGAAAACCAAACAAAATCTGAATAAAGTCTGTAGCAATGTGCCAAACATAGCTTTAAAAAAACGGATATGGATATACAAGTGTCTTTGTAGTAGGATGTAAAGTCCTTTCGGTATATGCTCAGATGTGGTATAGCTAGATCCCAATATTTTTTAGGTTCTTGAGAAGCCTCTCTGCTGATTTCCCTAGTGACTGCATCAATTGACACTCCTATGGAGAGTAAAGGCTCTTGCTTTCACACATCCTCATTAGCATTTGTTTTCTTGACAGTGAAATTTTGGTTGGGGTGAGATGGGAATCTCAAAGTAGCTTATTTTGATTTTTTTTTTTTTGAAACAAGGTTCCATGTATCCTGGGCTGGCCTCTAAGTCCTGCTGTGGCCAAAGATGATTGTGAACTTCCTCTGTCTCTACCTACCCAGTGTTGAAATTTTAGCCATGTCCCACCATGTACACTTACGGAGAACTAGAGTTGAACACAGGGCTTTGTGCATACTACCCAAACTGGCTACATTCCTAGCCCTTCCAAGCTTACATTTATTTATTCATTCATTCATTCATTCATTCATTTATTTATTTATTTATCTATCTATCTATCTATTTATTTATTTATTTATTTATTTATTTATTTGTGTGTGTGTGGGTAGGTATGCTTATGCTACAGCATGTATGTGTAGGTCAGAAGACAGCTTGCAGGAGTTGGTTTTCTCTTTCTACCATGTGGGTCCTGGGCATTGCACTCAGGTTGTTACTGTTGGCAGCTACTACTGCTACAGCGCTACTACTCCTACCTACTGAGCCATCTTGTCAGCCCTCAGTTGTTTAATTTCTATTTCTCTGATGACTAAGGATGTTGAATACTTAGAAATCAGGAATAGTGGCTCACACCAGTAATCCCAGCACTCAGGAGGCAGAGGCAGGCGGAATGCTGTGTGTTCAAGGCCAGAATAGTCTACAAAGTGAGTCCAGGACAGCCAGGTCTACACAGAGAAACCCTGTCTCAAAAAACCAAAATAAAATAATAAAAAAAAAAAGTATTTGCTATTAGGTGCTGGGTGTGGTGGCATAGAGTTTGAGGCCAGCCTGGTCTACAGAGCGAGTTCCAGGAAAGCTAGATCTACAGAGTCTCAAAAAACAAAACAAAAAAAGGAAAAATTTTTGTTTTCTTTTTGTTTAAACATTTATTTACTTATTATGTACACAATGTTTTGTCTGCATGTACACCTCCACACCAGAAGAGGGCACCAGATCTCATTATAGATGGGTGTGAGCCACCATGTGGTTGCTGGAAACTGAGCTCAGGACCTTTGGAAAAGCAGCCAATGCTCTTAACCACTGAGCCATCTCTCCAGCCCTGATTTTGTTTTTTGAGACAGTTTCTCTGTGTAGCCTTGGCTGTCCTGAAACTTAGTCTGCAGACCAGGCTGGCCTCGAACTCAAAGATCCAACTGCCTCTGCCTCCCAAGTGCTGTGGTAGACACCATCACCACCCAGATATTAACTCTTTATCTTTACTTTATCTGGCAAAAATTGTCTCCTACACTATGCTGAGTATCTGTTCACTCCACTGATACAGAAGTCTTTTAATTTTATGTAATCCCACTTGCCAGTTCTTTAAAGATCTATTTCATTTGACACACATATGTATGTTTTTCATTTCTGTCTTTTTTATATCAAATGAAGTTTCTGGTGCCTGCAGAGATTAGAAGGGAGCATCCTGGAACTGGAGTTACAGATGGTTTTCCTTACACCTTGTGGGTTTTGGAAACTGAACCCGGGTCCTCTGCAAGAATAACAAATAGCTGAGCCATCTCTCCAGCCTCTTAATTCTTGGGGTATTTTTGTGCTATTGGATTCTCATCAGGTATTTCTTACTCTTGTAAGTCCTCTCTAATCTTATGTCCCACTACTAGTCTTCTGGCTGGAAGTCTGGCTGCCTGTTCCAGCGTCATTCCCCTTCCTGCTGCCCCGTGGAATGAGGCAATCATAGGTTTTTCCCTTTGCCTGGATTATTGACTCCACCCATACCCCTCCTATGATTCAAAGCCTGGGCAGGGGCACTTGTGGAGTCTCAGGTTCTTTCCTGGGCACTGCTGAGTTTATATGCTACAGTGGGTGTGGAAACATCTGCGATCAAATGCCTTTTGTGTGAACACTCCTGCCATGCATTCCTGGAGTCAAATAGCCTGGGTTGTGGACATTCCTGTGGTCACATTGATTTGAATGAGAAGAATCATCAGGGATGAAATCACTGGAGCGGGGACACCTCTGGACAGAGTGGGGTACAGACATTCCTGGAATCACACTGAGAGGTGTGGCTACTTTTGTGGCCAGAGACCAAAGTGAGCATACATACTTGGGTATGTAAAGCCATTAAACCACAAAAGACAGTGTCACATAATTTAGGGAGTTCATGGAAGCGCCTGTCTTTGGGGCTATAGAAAGTCAGGACCACAGTCATAAAAAACACATCTCACTCCCACACCTCTTTATATTGGTAGGGCTGGGGACAGAATTCAAGGACTTGTACATGTCAGCTAAGTATGAAGAAAGACTCTCAATCTGAAGTCTGTTTGGTAAAATTAGGGCACAGTGAAACAAGCCTTCAATGTCAGTACTCGGGAGGCAGAGACAGGGGGATAAGTATTTCAAAGTCATCCTTGGGTATACAGCAAGTTGGAGGCCAGCCTCGGCTACGTGAGACCCTTTCTCAAAAAATAAAAACAACAAAAAAATGATTTGAAAAATCATTTGGAAATTTCATTAAATCTGTAGACTCTATCATAGATGATGATGATTATTATTATTTTGGTCTTTGTTTTTTGAACCAGGGTCTCACCATGTAGGATGGCCAGTCTGGCCTCAAACTCAACTCTCTGGCCTCAGTCTCCCATATTATGGAATTAGAGGTGTGTACTCATTTGGCTTCAAAGTTTCTTTTCTTTTTTAAATGGGGCCTACCTGTGCTGCCCAGGTTGACCTTGAAGGTATGTGCTTAAGTATTCTCATTTGGGGAACCTGAGTAGCTAAGACTACAGGTCGTGGTCTAGCATTACACACAGCTAACAGACTTAATTTTTTTCAAGACAGGGTTTCTCTCTGTAGCAAGAATCCTGTCTGTCTTGGACTCACTTTGTAGACCAGGCTGGCCTTGAACTCACAGAGATCTGCCTGCCTCTGCTTTCTGAGTGCTGGGATTAAAGACAAGCACCACCATTCCTGACCAGACTTGTGTGTGTGTGTGTGTGTGTGTGTGTGTGTGTGTGCGCGCGCGCGCATGCGTGTTAGTGAATATAGAACCCAGGGCTTTGTGCATACTAGGCAATCTACCCCATACTATCCCATCAGTGAGCTATACCACCATCCTATAACAGGATGTATTTGAAAGCACACTTGCATATGTATACCAACAGATAGGAATAATAATGAAAGTTGATTACACTGAAATACAGTTATAACTATATATTTAATTAAAATAAAATGGTGACAGTAGCCAGGTTTGATGACATAGGCAGGCCTGTAATCTTAGTACTCAGGGGGCTGATATGGGAGGATCTTGAGTTTGAGGGCAGTCTAGGCTATATGGAAAGATGTCTCAAAAAACAGTCAAAATTGGGGTATATGAGAGGTTTAATTATAGGATCGACTTATAAAATATGTCATTATCCAAAGAGGTGAGAAATACGAGCAGTATTTCAGATGCCCGTCAACTGTCAGATATAAAAAGCAAGCGACTTGCATAGTAGGGCTTTTACTGTTTTGACTTATTGCCAATATTTGTAGCTGGGAATGAAGCTGAACTTCAGTTACCACAAAGATGTACTGCTTTCTTCCATCAAGCTGGTGCTGGTGGAGCCCCTGATGTTTAAACCATGGTAAGATGCCCTGCTTTAGCCGTAATTCCTGGACCTATTCAGGACACTCCAGGAGCGGTTTAGAGAAGAGGCATATGCTCACAGTCTTAAGAAATTGCTCCTGCAGCTCCACATGCTTTTTCACCATTTCTTTGAGCTGTCGCAGATTCCCACTCTAGGCTTGTCTTCTCAGGCTCCATAGATGATATCTGCAAACAAATGCAGCTTCTGGTTTTCCAGGCAGGCAGCAGCTTCTAAGTTGTATTAGTTTGACTTTTACTGCAAACCCTAACATAAAGGAAAATGCATTAGAAAAAAAATGTGTCAAGATTTATTGCAGAGTACTATTTCATTCTCACTGCTGCGTAGCTCCCCACTGTGGAACAGGTTAGGATTTAACATTCAAGAACTACAAACATTCAAGAGCTAATTTCTCTGGAAGGAATTTTTTATATTTATTTTGTGTATGTGTGTGAGAGCATGCCATGGTATGCGTGTAGAAGTGACAACTAGTGGGAGTTAATTCTCTCCTTCTACCTTGGGGGTTATAGGGATTTAATTCTGGTTGTCAGAATGAGCCTTTTCCCACTCAGCCATCTCACCAGCCATAGAGCTAATTTCTTAGAAGTGTAACTGGGACCTTGATATGGTAGTGCACATCTTTTTTTTTTTTTTTTTCTTTTTTGGCAAGACAGGGTTTTTTACATAGCCTTGGCTGTCCTGGACTCAATTTGTAGATCAGGCTCACTGAGATTCACCTGCCTCTGCCTCCCAAGTGCTGGGATTAAAGGCATTCCCTACCACTGCCCGGCTTGTAATGCGCATCTTTAATGCCAGCAACCCAGGGTTTCATGTATGCCAGGCAACCCCTACCACTGACCTACACCCTAGCCCTGTTTCGGTGTTTTGCTTTTTTGTCTTAAGACAGACTGTCTCTATTTGTGCTGGGATTAAAGGCCCATGTCACCACACCTGGCCTGTTTCAATAAAAATACACAACCCAGATTTATTTATTTTCATTTTATGTGTATGACTGTTTTGCCTGCCTGCATGTATGTAAATGCATTGAATGCATGCTTTGTAAGTATGAAAGACAGAAGGCATCAGATTCCTTGAAACTGGAGTTACAGGTAATTGTTAGCTGCCATGTAGGTGCTGGGAACTGAACCCTGCTCCTCTAAATGGGCAAGTGCTCTTGACCACTGAGCTGTCTCTCTAATCCCCATGTTTCAATAAAAAATTTTAGAATACTTCTTTGTTTAATCATTTTGTATGTATGGATGTTTTGCTTTGTCTATCTGTGTACCATGTGTATACCTGGTGCATTAGGAGGTTGTGAGTCCCCTGTGTTTCAAATATAAAGTTTTTTTTTTTGAGACTGTGTTTCTCTCTGTAGCCCTGATTGTCCTGGAACTCACTATGTAGACAAACTGGCCTCGAACTCACAGAGATCTGCCTCTGCCTCCTACGTGCTGAAATTAAAGGTATGCACCACCACTGCCCATGCTGTGTTTCAATTTTTTAAGGTTCCCTTTTAACGGAAGACTTAAATGTAAGTAACCTGCTAGGCCACTGTTAGAAAGGGGTTCCTCCTTACAAACAGGTCTAGGTCCATCCTACTGCAGACTAGCTGGCTTCTTCTGTTTCAGGGAGTTTTCCCCTTGAACTTTGCTGTGTCTTCTCCCTGGTATATTCTTCCCATAGGTAGTATCCACAGGTCCTCACCCTGCAACTCCACAATGGTTTCTTTACCTCAGTGAGCTCTTTTAGAACAATGTTTTTATTATTTTGATTATTATTATTATTATTATTATTATTTTGTTTTCTCAGACAGGGTCTTTCTACATAGTCCCAGCTGTCCTGGAACTTGCTACGTACAACAGGTTGGCCTCAAACTCACAACACTGGTGCATCTGCCTCTTAAGTGCCTGGCTGGAAAAACACTTTTAAAACTCTAAACACCTACATCTACATTCTCTGATTTTCTTCATTTTGCTTTCCTTTTTTCCCTACCTTCCATAGCCTGTATTACTTTTCCATGTGCTTTCATGCGTCTTAGTGGAAAGGCACCACTGTGGGAAATACAACTTGGGTGCTCTGTCGTTGTAGAAATATCAGATGAGTGTACTTAAGGAACAAAGAAGTCACAAAGTCACTACATGGTATCTTATGAGACCATTATTTTTTACAGGGTCTGTTATTTTGTAGCATGCTGTAAACATAGTTAAAAACAACTTACAATGCAGAAATTCAGTCTTTGTTTTCTTCTGTATCTCTAAACCTAGAATGGCTGGAAGTATGCATTCAATAAGCATTTACCAACCCTCTCAACAGGCAGCACGCAAAATGCTTAAAGTTGCTCTAAACATAAAACAGATGCTCTCTAAACACCCATTTACTGGGGAAAAAATCCTTTGCTTTTCTTTAACAAATTCTTTGGGGATGGGGTTTGAGAACCAGTTCAGTGGTTAAGAGCCCTGGCTACTCTTCCAGAGGTCTTGAGTTTGATTCCTAGCACTCACATGGTGGCTAACAATTACTTGTAACTCCAGTTCCAGGAGACCTGAGGGCATCTCTATAGCTCCAACTGTTTTTATTTAAGATAGGGTCTCTATCTGCATGTGTGCCTGCACACCAGAAGAGGGCATCAGATCTTATCATAGATGGTCATGAGCCACAATGTGGTTGCTGGGAATTGAACTCAGGACCTCTGGAAGAACAGCCAGTGTTCTTCTGAGCCATCTCTCCAGCCCCCAAGATAGGGTCTCATATAGCCCAGGCTGCCCTCAAACTTTCTATATAGCTGCACATGAGCTTTTACTTCTGAATTTCTATGGTAATTTGAAGGAGAACGGTCCCCAGAGGCTCATATATTTGAATACTTGGTACCCACTTGGTGGAACTGTTTTGGGAATGTCACTGGAGACAAGCTTTGAGGATCCAAAGGCCTAGGCTATTCCCAGTAATCTCAGTCTCCCTCTCCTCTGCCCCATGGTTTATATCTCACAAGTATTAATTATTGCTTCAACCTCATGCCTGTCTGCCTGTTGCCATGCTCCCTGCTGTGATGGCCATTGATTCATCATCTGAAACTGTAAATTCCCACTGAATGTTTTCTTCTCCATGTTGCCTTGGTCATGGTGTCTTATTACAGCCATCATAACTAACACAACTTCCTACCACAGGATTACTGGTATGGGCCATCACATCCAGGTTATGTGGCTGTGGGGATCAGAGCATTGTTCATTCCAGACAAGCATCTTACCAGCTAAACTACATCCCAACTCTTAATATACTTTTGTTTGTTTCCTTGGCAATATTGAATATTGAACCTTTTAACTCTTTAAAGCTTTATTTATTATATTATTATTATATATTATTATTTATTATATGTGTATAAGTATTTTGCTTGCAAGTATACCCAACGAATAAAACATCATTTTATTTTATTAAGTCACCAGGTGGTGGTGGCATATGCCTTTCATCTTACCACTTGGGAGGCAGAAGCAGGTGGATCTCTTTGAGTCTGAGGGCCAGCCTGGTCTACAGAACTAGGGTTACGTAAAGAAACCCCGTTTCAAAAAAAATTAAAAAAATATGACCTGGAGAGATGGCTCAGAGGTTAAGAGCATTGGGTACTCTTCCAAAGGTCCTGAGTTCAGTTCCCAGCAACCACATGATGGCTCACAACCATCTATAATCAGGTTTGGTGCTCTCTTCTCTTGTGTAGGCATACACGGAGGCAAAACACTGCATATGCAATAAATAAATAAATAAATAAATAAATAAATAAATAAATAAATAAATAAATAACTATTTAAAAAATTAAAAATAAAAAAGTCAAAATTTACCAAGGTCTTTCATCTTTTGAGACACATTTCATGTAGTTCAGGTTGGCTTCAAACCTGCCAAGTATCTAAGGGTTTTCTGAAAATTTTGATCCTTTTATTGCACTACTATGGGTCACAGGCACTACTATGCTTGTCTTTTTATGTTGTGGCTGGAGACAAAACCTAGGGTTTTGTGCATTTTAGGCAAGTACTCTACAAATTGGGCTATCTCTAGGGATTTTTCTTTTCTATCTATTTTTTTAAGTTAAATTAATTTTTTTTTTCAGACAGGGTCTCATTACATAGCCTTGACTTCCCTGAAACTATGCAGACCAGGCTAACCTCAAACTTGTAGAGACCTGCCTGCTTCTCCCCTCTCCCACCAAATTCTGGGAATAAAGGTGAGTGCTACCATGGCCAAACTATTTTTATTATTTTTTAATTGTGTGTGTGTATGTCCTGGGTATGTGCTTGTGAATGTAGGTACCGAGAGAGTACATAGATATCTGAGCCCATGGAGGTAGAGTCATAGGCACTTGTGAGCTGCCAGGTTTGGGTGCTGGGAACCAAACTTGGATCTTCTGCAAGAGCAATACCTGCTCTTAACCACTGAACCCGCTCTCAATCCTCATTCAGATTTTTTATAAGGTACCCTTTATTTTAACTTTAGAAAAAAGGGGCAAATTTACCTTAATGTGTTAGGGTGAACAAGTCATCTCATTATCTTCCACCTGCCAAGGAAAAAGAAAAGGGACTCAGCTATTTGGCTATGTTTTTTCTTTCTTTTTTTTTTTTTTTTTCCATTTGTCAGTGGGCTGAGCTATTGATTCTTACAGCTATTGCAAGGCAGGAAAGAACCACGTGAGTCAGGCCAGAAACAGGGACATTGGGAAGAGTCATGCTGGGCTCAGAGTTGAAGACCCACACCTTAGGGGCCAGTGGGGTAGCCTGAGGCTGGGGCAACTTGTCTACTCTGTTGATGCAGCATTCCTGGGGGAGGCGCTCCTTGGCCAGCTATCCATTCTTCTTTAACTTGCAGGCCTCCTGGTACAGGGATGCAATGGGGGGTTGTGTGGCTGGAGCATGTTTGTACATGGAGCCACCTTCTAGCTGTGGGACACAGGAGGCAGGGAGATGATGAGGATCTGAGACTCTAAGACAGTCTCCTTGACCCATGTCCTGATGGTTGGACACTCACATCCAGAGGGTAACTACGGTCTGAATTATGGGTGCTGAGGTTCCCACAGGCCACAAAGGGCACAGGTCACAAAGGGCACGATAATACATCCAGGACCGTCCAGCTGGTTGAAATCCAAGCCTTGGAAAAAGGCAGGGTGAACACTGAGGGCAAGGCCATTTACGGCACAGGCTGCAGCAGTACTAAAGTCCTCCCTCCATCATGATTCATCATCAGGTCGTACAGATAATCTTCATAGGGGGCCTGCCTCATCACTGATTCTAAAATGTCAGCCCCTGGTCTGGTTTTTCACTGTACTATGCCCACCCGGCATTTTACCTTCTACCTTGTCTCACTCAAGTAGGATCTATAGTGATATGCTCTGCCTTTGCCCATCAGGTTTAGGCTACAGACCTGCATAGGGAACACGTTTAACATGGGTGGGGTTTCTACCTGGGGGCAGTGACTGAGGGTTTTGCTAAGATAGATAGGGCTATCTAACAGGGTTTGAGGCTGAAGGCTCTCAAGAGACATGAAGTACATGCAGCTGATGCAGTTTCCCTAGGCATGGGCCACCAGCTCTGGCTCTCACCATACCCATGGTCCTGCAGGGGTCTGGTCAGGTCTGGAATGAAATCCTCTGGAGGGTCATAACCCTGACAAACAGCAAAGGCCTCTGGGGGAGGGGGACTCAGAGTGAGGGGTGACTTTGTCACCTCAACCTTGTGTAGATACCTGGCCAATCACCTGCTTGCCTTTCAGTCAGGCCCCCATGCCACTGACCAATGCTGGAATTCCTGCTGCTCTTGAGCTTGGCACAGAACACACTGGAGAAGAATATGCACAGTTGGCTGTAAAGCAGGGTTACATCTTGACCCCAGAATATCTGCAGGTCATGGAAAGCAACATGGAGAGGTATGTGTGCCCCACCCCACTCCAGGGACCTTTCTCAACACTCCACTTGGCACACCAAGGCTTACCTTGGCTACAAAATAGCCCCCTAGCTTCAAGACATATGCCGCAATGTTGAGAGCCTTGGGAAAGGAGAGATGGGTGGTAGTAGAGGCAAAAGTGAGGGCCAAGAGAGTGCAGGGGTGACCACCAGGGTTACTCACAGCTAGCAGAAGCTTGGGCCTGCATGTACTCATCGACATCATGGAGGCCAGTGCTTATAGCAAGAGGAATAGCTGATTAGGGGACCCTCTGATTTGATATGTCTTCTTATACCAGAGTTTAGAAAACTAAAGATATTTTCAGGCTCTCTTACTGCTAAGGTTCTGGAAAGTGTACTGCCTCCCCCAAATGGACGTGAACCCTGAGCTTCTAGCAACCTGGGAAGTCATTTTAATTCTGGAAACTGCTTGTCTTACAAGCAGGACTAGAATTTCTACCTCTAGCCCAGATGGTTCCTCTGAGCTTTATTTACAGATCAGCCCAAAGGCTTAACAAGCTCAACTCCAAATTTCTACTTCCTTCTCTATGAGTTCCTCTATGTTTTTTCAGCTCCGCGCATCCTTCCAGTTATTAATGTCAAAAATCTTAGTCCTTGTGACCAACTCTGGCCCCATCATTCTCAAATTCCAGACTTTAGCAAATCCAGCCAGCTCTATTTTCAAAATGAGACCTCTGTCTCCTTGCCTGTCACTGGAGACACCACTTTTATCAGTTACTCTTTTATTTTTATTTTTTTACAGAGCCAACTAATCTGAGCCCAGGTGGGGCATATAGAGAATGAAGCACCAACCAATGACCATGCATGCACTGGACCTAGGCCCCCTACACACTATGGGTAGCTTTGTCTTCCTGTGGGTCCCTCTGTATGGGAAGCAGGATCTGTCTCTGACACGGTCTCTGTTGCCTACCTTCTGATCACATCCCCCTGGTGGGGCTGCCCTTGCCTGGCTTCAGTGGAAGAGGATGCTCTTAGTCCTGATGTGACTTGATGAGCTGGAGTGAGTTGGTGAGGGGTGGGGAGATAGGGGGATGAGAGAGGGTAGGTGGCACTGGGAGGAGAGGAGGGAGCTACAATCTGGATGTAAAGTGAATAAGTAAAATAAGCAAAGAAATAATAAAAATTCATATTAATTAATAACTGATTTACTTGATGGGTGTCTTGTCTGCATGTCTGCCTATGTACCATAAGAATCCTGGTGCTTTTGGAGGCCAGAAGAGGGTGTTGGATCCAGCTGGAAGTGTAGTTACATATGATTATGAACCACCGTATAGTTGCTGGGAATCAAACTCAGGTCCTCTGGAAGAGTAGCCAGTGCTCTCTCTGCAGCTCTGGTAAAGGCTCTTTTTAATTTTAATTTAATTTAATTTGATTAATTTAAGCCAATTTTTTGGCTTAGCATCTGGCTCCAGCTGCCTGGGGCTGCACACAGGTCAACTGCTCATTTCACACCTGTGCCCACACAGTGAAAACGTACTGGTCAGCTGTATAAACCTTTCTAAGCCAAGAATCTTGAAAAATACACTTCTCTCAGGTATAGAGAACCTATGTCCACCCTTGGGCCACATCCTCTAGGGTTTATGGCCCATCTTCTTCCCTGTCTCCCTGCCCCAGATATCCTCCATGTCAGCCTACCCACTGCTGTGAGCCCAAAGAAGCAGTCTTCTCTCCACTCCCAAGCCACTTGGCCACCAAATCATGCACCTTAGAAGAGCTGGAATTCCTCATCAAGTTGAAGGAGCTTGAAAGAGCTTCAAGCCCACCAGCTTGGCCAGGATGTAGTAGATATCCTGTTTATCCTTTGATGTCCATCCCATCTCATGTTCCTGTTAGGCAGTGAGCTGATGCTGTCTTGTATGAGTAAACAAGATAGTGGCACACCAGCTACCAGCACAGGGCAGAAAAATAAAAGTACTGAGGCCATGTGATCCAGGTGACAGCTCATTCAACACACGGAGACTGAAACTCAGACAGGGCTTTAAGTACCTTATCATGATCTCTCAGGCCTCTTTGCTCGTCACATCAGGCCCCATCATTCTGGGACACCACAGATTCCACAGTTAACTGATAGAAGACCTACTACTGACCCTGCTCACCTCCCGACTACTCTCACAGACACTTCACACAAGTAATCCCTCTTTCAACCATTTTCTCTACCCATTAGATCCCTATTCACACCCAGCCATCTCTCCAGTCATCTCCATTGTCTCTAGATTCACAGAACCCTATTACTCCCCCCTATTAAACCCTTGCTTTTCACACCTATTACCCTGAAGCCATTCATTTTCCCACAGCCTAATCTCTCACTCCTCTCTGCAGCCCACCAATCCCTTAAAAGATTAGGCCTCCAGTCATTAATTACTACCACCTCAATCCCCACCAATGCCTAGAGGATCCTGACCTGTTAGGTCTCTATTATACCAATTTAACAGCTGTGTTACCTCAGCCCTCCTACCAACCTTTCAAAGATTACTAGTGGCCTTCAGTATTCTTTTCATCAATACACACATTGCCCCTGGTGCTCATATAGCTTATTTTTCTTCTTTGATCACTAACCTCACTAGTCCTTTTATCACTCCGCCTACCCATCTCTGTTATTCTCTCCATAACCTCACCATTATCGATTATTATATAAACTGGTGAATATCCACCACACTCAGGGATCATACTTTCATTAGTAATTCCTTCATTATTCAACCAATGAGCACACTCTATAGGTCTCCATTAATTTCCTTCATTAATTTCCCGGTGGATACAGCACCACATGTCAAATACCTTTTATTAATAACTCTAAGTCCATCTGCATGGCGTCAAAGACCATCACCTTGTCAGGACCACCAAATACCCCTCAAGGGGGCCCAGTGGATAGCAGAACAGTTTCACGCTTCTGAAGTTCGCTCAGCATCCCAGTTCCCTGCTCTAGGCAAGCTTCCCAGGGCTTGACTGAACTGTGCAGCTACAGCGTCCAGTGAACCCTCACATTGTGAGTTGGGGACAGGGCAAGCATGCACCATCCAGTCTCGGTCTCAGTTCAAGTCCTCGGTGTCCTAGGACCTACCTCAGCTTTTGTATAGGGAGGGAGCTGGATCACTAACCCTGAGAACAGTGTGCAGACCGGTGAGAAAAGGTAGGGCTCCAGGTGGTCGAGTCGACCCGCTGGCCTGTACCACATGCCTAGAGGTTGTCACAACGTGATAAACTTTGCATTGTAAAACAGGTTCCAGGGAGGTCCGGACCAGAGCAGAACGTATGACGTTTGTTTCATCATCTCGTAGCGACATATCCGGGTCACAGGAACTGCAGATCCCAGAATGCAACTGACATTGTTTGGCCAATAATGTCGCAAGGTAAGTGAACTGGCGCTTTGTTCTTTGTTTCAAGGACAAGGTCGTATTTTTGGCCCAACAGGGCGAGGCAGCAAGGCCAAGAGTTCTCGGCCAGTCTGGGCTACATAGAGAGAACTTGGAGTGGGAAACCTCCACCCCTCTCCGCACACTCACACAAAAAAGCAAGAAAAAGGAGGCCAAGATAATTTACATAGACGCCTCTTTTTACATGGAGCCCACATACTACATTTCCCAAAATTCAGCGGACATGACCACGCCTTTTTACTTTAAGTTTGGTTGGAAGGGGTTAGAGGTTGACCGTGGTGGAAGAGGAAAGCAGGTTGCAAAAGTATGCTAATCGGGAAGCTACTGCATGCGATTTTGAATCGTACTTCCGTGGTTGAAAGAATACTTTCAATTTTGCCATCTCAGAACTTCAGTTTCCTCATCTAGAAAATAGATATAATTACCGATGCAGAATTCACGGTGTTAATCAAAGTTACAAATATCCTAATATATTTTCCGAACATTTTTTTTTTTCTTGAAACGTTTTAATCCCCACGCACAAGCACAACTGAAAAGTGTATCTGTGATTTGTGACATAGCACACTGGGTAAAGGCTCTTGCCCACAAATCTTACCGCCTGAGTTCGGTTTCCAGGATTCATAAGGTGAAAGGGGAAGGACTCTTACAAGTTGTCGTTTGACCCCCAAATGCGTGCTGTGGCACGCACCCTCTCCCCAAATACATACATACATATACATACATACATACGTACATACACACATCTAGATAAATGGATGTATGAATGAATAAAGCATAAGTTTAAAGCATATTTGTACGCGTATATTTTCGTGTTTGTGTGCTCTTATGTCGCGACCTAGTACAAAAAAATACAATAACTGAAACAGCATTTACAATGTGTTATCCATTATTATAAATGCTGTTAGTGGTGTGCTGGTAAATAGTTAACTGGCTTTGGGAGGGTGGGGGTGGGTCTGTTTGGAGCATTTGTTAGTTTCCATGGTTTACATATTATCGGGTCAGATTTTAAGTCATTCTTGTGTAGTCTAAACACAGGTGTAGCAATACACCATTATGTATTAACTGGACCGTACAATAGGAGAAATGGCTTCAAAAACACAGAAAATGAACAAAATATAGTAAGATAATTAGGAAGTGATACATTTTAAATATCTATTACCTTTAAAAATCCAATCCACTTAATTGTTAAGTTCACAGCATTATTTTTTCCTTTTCTCTCTCCCTGTCTCTTTCTTCCTCTCCCCATGGTTTCAATGTAGGTCAAACTGGCCTCCAACCCACGAACCACTTCCCACCTTCCAAGTGCTGAGGTTTCAGATGGCCCCACCCCCATATCCCTATACACTGTCCTTTCTTTCTTCCTTCCTCTCCTTCTGTCTTTCTTTCCTTCTCTTCTTCCTTCTTTCTTTCTTTTTAAAGATTTATTTATTTTATGTATATGAATGCTGTGTTTTCACACACACCAGAAGAGGGAATCAGATCATATTATAGATGTTTGTGAGCCACCTTGTGGTTGCTGGGAATTGAACTCAGGACCTCTAAGAAGAGCAGTCAGTGCTCTTAACTGCTAAGCCATCTCCCCAGGCCCCAGCATTTCTTATTTTAATTCTTTGAGACAGGGACCCACTATGTAACTCTAGGTGTACTGGAACTCAATATGTAGACCAGGTTGGCTTCAAACTCACAGAGATCTGTCTGCTTCTGCCTCCTGAATGCTGAGATTAATCAGAATTTTATTTTTAAGATTAATTTATTTTAATTTTTATGTATATGAGGGTTGTTTTTTTTTGTATGTATATGTAGAAAACATACATGCTTGCTGCCTAAGGAAGTCAGAGGGTGTCAGATCCTGGAACTAGAGTTGTGAATGGTTGTGAGCCATCATGGGGGTACTGGGAACTGAACCTGGGTCTTCTGAAAGAGCAACAAGTGCTCTTAACCACAGAACCATTACTCCAGCCTCAGCATTTCAATTTGTTTTGTTTTGAGATAGGGCAATAAATCCCTGGTTGTTCTTGACTCGTTTTGTAGACCAGGCTGACCTTAAACTCACAGAGATCTGCCTGCCTCTGCCTCCCCAGTGCTGGGATCAAAGCATGAACCACTACGCCTAGCTCCAACATTTCAATTTTAAAATAGTTATTTAACAACCAATTTACAAAATTCCTGAAAATTGAACAAGCTTAGTTGTGAAAGTCTATATAAGTTGTTTCTGTTTCCAGTGTACTGCTGAATTCTTACAAAAAAAAAAGTTATCTTTAGATTTTATTTATTTTGTTTTATGGATGTGCATATTTTGCCTTCATATATGTATGTGAATGAAATGCATGCCTGGTGCTTTTTGAGGCCACTAGAGGGCATTGGATCTCCTGGGACTAGAATTACTGATGATTTCAGCTGCCATATGGGTTCAGGGAATCAAATCTAGGTTCTTTGGAAGATTAACAAGTGTTCTTAACTGCCGAGCCATCTCTCCAGCCACCTGCATTGCCCCCCCAACACTCAATTTAATACTTATAACATAGGAGCTAATTATCCTTAACTTACAAAGAGAAAGCTGAGGCAAGAAAAGGATACATATTATGAAAAGCATATAAATTTAACATAAGTTATATATAACTTAATGTAACTATATATAAAATTTAACATAAATGTGTAAGTTTGTATAAAAATGTAGGGATGTATAATTTTAAACTATATAGTAATAAAAATAGGTCACATGTGACTAAATATATAACAGTAAATATTTTATATATTTTGTATCATGAAAGGTGGGTATCACATTATACATATAACATACAATGTATGTGGTAATGTGAATATGGTAGTATGCCTTTGGACATTTAGTAAAGTATGTTAAATACAGATACACAACTAAAAAATAGATAGACTGTCTTATTGTATTTTTGAGATGAGGTCTTGCTATATAGCTAGCCCAAGCTGTCCTTGAGTCTTATTCCTCCTGCCTTAAGTGGCCCTAGTGTTGAGGTAATAAGTGTGACATACTATGTCCAGCAAAATATGTTTTCTCTGGTGGCAATAAAGTAGGATGAAAAGGAGAGATACTGAAGAATGGATTAAGTTGCATTTTCTTTCCTTTTGAGACAAGATCTTGAGATGTTGCCTAGGCTGCCCTCCACTTCATGGGCTCAGTCCATTTTTCTGCCTCAGCCTTCAGAGCACCTTGGATTGTAGCTTGTACCCATATAGTACAGAGCTGTGTTGCTGTTTTCGATAAATCTCAGCTGGTAGGTAAGGTTTCTCTGAGAAGGTGGCTAAGAGCTGCAAGACAGCACATTCTGGGAATATTTGGAGGAAGAGCATTGCAGGAAGAGTGGATAACAAATGCAAAAAGCTGAATGGGAAGGAGTTTGGTGAGTATTCAAAACTAAAAGACAGACTCTTCTGAATGAACTTCATCAAGTTCCTATTATGATGTCTTCTGCTGACTCATACTGCCTAGAACAGGGCCTTTGAGCAGTTGTTTATCGAAACTATTTGTGGCTTTATTCTTTCATTTTCTTCTCAGTATATTCCACATTTTCTTTTGCTCAATCACCCAGGAGCTTATGCAAACAAGGTAGACGCCTTTGAACTGTATCCCTAGTCTGGCTTTCTGTATTATTATTTTTTTAAAGCAGAGTCTAGTGCCATACACCTTTAATCTCTAAAAGAGAATCCCTGTGAGTTTGAGGCCAGCCTGGTCTACACAGTGCATTCCAGGCCAGGCAAGGCTACAGAGAAAGATCCTGCCTCAGGAAAAAAAAAAGTGTTTGTGTGTGTGTGTGTGTGTGTGTGTGTGTGTGTGTGTGTGTGTGTACATGTGCACATTCTATGTGCTTGTCTGGAGGTCAGAGAACAACTTTAGGGATTTGGTTCCTGCCTTCCACTTTTTTTGAGGTAGGTTCTCTTACTGTTTCTGCTGTTGTTTTATGTAGCCCAGGAAGCTGGTATGCTAACTTCTGGACTATTCTCCTGTCTCTGCCTCCCATTGCACTGCATGAGTGGCAGGATTGCAAATGGATGCATGCCACTGCAGCTGGCTTTTAGTTGGGTTTTGGAGATTGATCTTGGGTCATCTCACTTGGGTGGCTAGTACATTTACCTATCAAACCGTGTCCCAGATCCTATTCTGCTACTCGGCACATGTGAAAGGTCCAATGAAGAGACAGAAATAGTCCTGAAGAAGACATTTTTGCTTTTGTTTGTTTTGTTTTGCTTTTTATCTCTGAATAGGACTGTGATGGGGTCCTGTTGTAAACAACAATCATTTAAGGTACCTGAGAGCCATGGAAGGAGGGACAACTTGGGATGCAGCTCACCTGTAGAGCATGCACTTGGTGTGTGTGTGTGTGTGTGTGTGTGTGTGTGTGTGTGTGTGTGTGTGAGGTCTGAAGACTCAAAAGACGCAAAATGTTACATAAGATTGAAAGGCTGAAGCAACAGTGTTGTCAGGGGAGCTCAAAAGTGTCTTATGGGTGCTGGGAAAGTAAACAAAGTGTGAGAAAGGAAAGGTTCAAACAGGCCACTGCTCTGCAAGAGAGGAGGGAGTGCCAGGCCTGGGGGCTCTATGTTCATCCTGTTGGATGCTTCCTATGTCCTGTTTTCTTGTGGGTCACAAAGAGGATGTTTAATTTGGAGCAAAGAAACTTGCTTCCTCCAGCAGGGCTCAAGGTTTGGGGGACAGGAGCCAGGGTCTGAATTCTCCATGCCAATGGAATTATTAGTGTCATGTTAGAAAGACTCAGTCACTGTCCTCAATAAGCCAATGGAAGAGACATACTAATAGTGAGAATCAGCAAGAGGATATTTAATCAATGTGGTCATATTGGAAAAAGGTACAAAGAGATCCAGTGACAACTCTTTTATTTTATTTTATATTTTAATTTAATTTAATTTAATTTAATTTA